CCCAATTCAGCAACTAAAGTTCGAGCTAGAGGAACTATGGCCCTCTTTGTCCTCCTACAGTCAGATTGCAGAAGATTGGGTACTCTTGACCCGGGGCAGACCACAGTACCAGGGTACCAATATGATGATCTGTCAAAAATGAGAAATATCCAAGGGACAAAGATGGTAAACACGAGTAATAACACGGAGGGAGAGATGACCAATTAAGAGTATGACTGCGGCCTACAGTCACCACGTAATCCAAAGTTGTCTCACCTTCACTATATGTTACTCTCGTAATGCACAATACACTGCACCATATAAGAAATGAAATTGAATATGAAAAATAGTAAAAGCTACGTTAACAAAGTTAAATACTCTTACCATAAATTACCACTTGGCACCAGTACCTGAGTGAAGCTCCCGGACAGGCCCCCATATAATATGTGACGGTAACGCGTTGGTGTTCGGCTGTTCAAAGCTAGGGGTATGGCCTCGTCACATAGTATAAAAAAAAATAGAAAATCTGGAACTTCGTCTGTGGTAAGGTAAGGAGAAGACACACAAAACACAAGTAAATTTTAACAATGAAATTTTAATTACGTTAAATAAACAAAACATGAATAAAATGGACAAACAAATTCGTATAATAAAATCAATCAAAATAATAAGAATAATTAAATGACACAATGAAAAGTTATGTTAAGACAAGTGAGCAAAATAACAAGAAGTGCAATAGACAAGTAAATGAGAGGTGCGGGAATATTGGCTTTAAGCTATCACCTCTCTCAGTACACGTACGCCAAAGCTTACGTCTAGCAGGGAGAAGTGTTAACTGTGAGAAAGCACTGAATATTCTGAGGACTGAGGTCGTGGCGGCCCCAGACATCAAGTAGTATGGTGGGCGAGTGCAGTTGCAGCCAGACCGGCGACCAATCAGCGAGGAGCCGGCAGCAAGACGGGTAGTTTGGCGGTTTGAGTCTGAGCAGGTGTCCCTGGCTGCATACGTTTTGCGCTCTGGCAAACCTTGCTGGTGTTGTCGTTGTTGGACATTTCTTCCATAGTAGTTTTATATAGATGTAACGACGTATTTGTGGAGGGAAGAGAAGGCTCAATCTCTTGAAGGAGATTATTGTCACAATATATATAATATATGTATATATATATTATGTATATGGGTATGTATAAATATACATCCAAGCTTACCACCAAGTGCCGTCGGGATGTTGGGGATTTTAGATTAGATTAGCAAGGAGAAGTTCCAGAGATAATATAGGGGATAATTAACAGGCACCAATAGAAGAGTTACAGATTACCAGTGGGGATGTAAGGAAGCTCTTACTTGAGTTCGATGTGACAAAGGCTATAAGGCCCAGACGGAATCTCCCCTTAGATTGTAAAGGAGCAGAAGCACTGTATCTACCACTCTCCATAGTGTATAGCAAATCACTGGTAACAGGGAAATTGTAAAAAAAACTGGAAGACGGCTAATGTAGTCCCGATATACAAGAAGGGGGGAAGGATAGACAGGAGGCACTGAAATACAGGCCAGTGTCTTTAACTAGCATACCATGCAAGTTGATGGAGAAGATTTAACTATAATAGCTAGTGGAACATCTGGAATGAACGACCTTTGTAACACAATTTCAACATGGGTTCAGGGATGGAAAGTCCTGCCTCACAGGACTTTCCAGCCCTGATTAGTTGAATTCTACGACCATGCAACAAAAATCAGGCAAGAAAGAGAGTGGGTTATCTTGAGATGATTTCGAGTCTTAGCGTCCCCGCAGCCTGGGCCTCGACCAGGCCTCCTTTTTGTTACACACTCCCAGGAAGTATCCCGTAGCAGCTGACTAACTCCTAGGTACTTATTTACTGCTAGGTAAGTGAGGAGGATTAAGACAGAGGACGATAGTACAAGGCTACAAGATGATCTAGACAAACTGAATGAATGGGCCAACAAATGGCTACTAAAGTTCAGCCCTAGTAAACGTAAGGTAATGAAACTAGGCGGGAGAAACAGGCCGCCAGATTCAGGATACCGAATGGGAAATGAAGTACGTAATGAAACGGACAGAGAAAGTTCTAAGAGTTGACATCACAACAAACCTCTCTCCTGAAGCCTACATAAAAACTATAACATCTGCGGCATATGCAAGGCTGGCTAACATCAGAACTGCCTTCAGGACCCTGTGTAAGGAATCATTTAGAACCTTGTATACCACATATATATAAGACCAATCCTGGAGAATGCGGCCCCAGCATGGAACCCGCACCTTGTCAAATACAAGACGAAGGTGGAAAAAGTTCAGAGGTAAGCATCTATGTAGGATATAGCCCAGTATGCCCAGGATCCAGTTGATCAGGTGATTGACAATTGAGAGGCGCAATCAAAGAGCCAGATATCAACCCCCGCAAGCACAACTAGGTGTGTAACACTAGGTGAGTACCCACACACTCACACACACATGAGTATACACACACACACACACACACACACACACACACACACACACACACACACACACACACACACACACACACACACACACACACACACACACACACACACACACACACACACACACACACACACACACACACACACACACACACACACACACACACACACACACACACACACACACACACACACACACACACACACACACACACACACACACACACACACACACACACACACACACACACACACACACACACACACACACACACACACACACACACAGTAGTAGGCTGTGTGCGGGGAGGCACACGTGTTAGTGGGGTCCGCGAATATATGTCAAATAGTCAGAACATTGCAATGATATAGAGGCTAGATCTTAGTATTTGGCCTCACGCAGTGAACAACAAGCAGGGTGCAACGTGCCATGGTGACCTCGCAAACGATAGAACAATTGGAGTAAAGAAACCAATTTGGAGTGGCAACACAACGCTGGACGAGAGGAGACCCGCCGTGAAACTCGCCTAGCTGTGCTTGTGGGAGGTAAGTGCTTGTGGAGACTGGCAAATGCCTCTCTGACGTCTACAACATTGTGCAAGGTTAATAAAATATATCGTAATCACTAATGCATTCTCATTCAATAATAGGATATAATAGTAATCTGGTTAGAGAAAGAGGCATTTAAAGAACCTCACTCAGTGACCTCACTTGGGAACTGAACACTGTGTTCAGAAAATCCAGACATAATAGCACTCACAGAAACAAAGCTAACGAAAGCCATAACAACTGCAGTATTTCCACAGGACTACTATGTAATGAGAAAAGTGAGAGAAGGGAGAGGAGGAGGTAGGGTACCTTTGCTGATAAGAAAAGGCTGGAGTTTTGAAGAAAAGTGTATTCAGGACTGAAGATTTCAGTGACTACAAATCAGATACCATAGCAATTAGTGGACCAAAAACTATAGTAGTAGTCATATATAACCCCCACCAAACGACAGAAGATCCAGTCAGGAATATGACAGAAACAACATGGCCACCATTAATATAATTGAGAGAGCAGCTTCTGTAGCTAGCAGGAACGGATTTAATGTTGTGAGTGATGGAGGTGATGTGAGTAGTGGAGGCGAGGTGATGTGAGTGGTGGAAGCGAAGTGATGTGAGTGGTGGAGGCGAGGTGATGTGAGTAGTGGAGGCGAGGTAATGTGAGTGGTGGAGGCGAGGTGATGTGAGTAGTGGAGGCGAGGTGATGTGAGTAGTGGAGGCGAAGTGATTGGAGTATTGGAGGCGAGGTGATATGAGTAGTGGAAGCAAGGTGATGTGAGTGGTGGAGGCGAGGTGATGTGAGTGGTGTAGGCGAGGTGATATGACTGGTAAAGCCGAGGTGATGTGAGTGGTGGAGGCGAGGTGATGTGAGTGGGGGAGGCGAGGTGATGTGAGTGGTGGAGGCGAGGTGATGTGAGTGGTGGAGGCGAGGTGATGTGAGTGGTGGAGGCGAGGTGATGTGAGTGGTGGAGGCGAGGTGATGTGAGTGGTGGAGGCGAGGTGATGTGAGTGGTGGAGGCGTGGTGATGTGAGTGGGGGAGGCGAGGTGATGTGAGTGGTGGAGGCGAGGTGATGTGAGTGGTGGAGGCGAGGTGATGTGAGTGGTGGAGGCGAGGTGATGTGAGTGGTGGAGGCGAGGTGATGTGAGTGGTGGAGGCGAGGTGATGTGAGTGGTGGAGGCGAGGTGATGTGAGTGGTGGAGGCGAGGTGATGTGAGTGGGGGAGGCGAGGTGATGTGAGTGGTGGAGGCGAGGTGATGTGAGTGGTGAAGGCGAGGTGATGTGAGTGGTGGAGGCGAGGTGATGTGAGTGGTGGAGGCGAGGTGATGTTTGTAGTGGAGGAGAGGAGAGGAGATGTTAGTGGTGGAGGCGAGGTGATGTGAGTTTTGGAGGCTACGTGATGTGAGTGGTGGAGGCGAGGTGAAATGAGTAGTGGGGGCGAGGTGATGTGAGTTGTGGAGGCTAGGTGATGTGAGTGGTGGAGGCGATGTGATCTGAGTGGTGGAGGCGAGGTGATATGAATGGTGGAGGCTATGTGATGTGAGTGGTTGCGGCGAGGTGATGTGAGTTGTGGAGGCGAGGTGACGTAATTGTTGGAGGCGAGGTATTGTGAGTAGTGGAGGCGAGGTGATGTGATTGGTGGAGGCGAGGTGATGTGAGTGGTGGAAGCGAGTCGATGTGAGTGGGGGAGGCGAGGTGATGTGAGTTTTGGAGGCTACGTGATGTGAGTGGTGGAGGCGATGTGATGTGAGTTTTGGAGACGAGGTGATAAAGTAATGGAGGCGAGGAGATGTGAGTAGTGGGAGCGAGGTGATGTGAGTATTGGTTGCGAGATGATGTGAGTGGTATAGGCGAGGGGATGTGAGTGGTGGAGGCGAGGTGATGTGAGTGGTGGAGGCGAGGTGATGTGAGTGGTGGAGGGGAGGTGATATGAGTGATGTTCTAGAATTCAAGTTGTACGACGGTTGGGATATAGCTAATCACATTCAAGTAAACCTCTGACGTCTTTCTCCATAGAGTACTAGTTGTTCTACCGAGCAGTCAGTATTCTCACAGACCGTAGTTAGGTGGGACCTCGGCAGTCCAGATATTCAACTTGTTACCTTTCTCAATAAACTGCTGAAGTCATCAATCGTGTATGCTCTACTACACAGTAAGAACGACTATACGTCAAGAAGGTAACTAATACTGGTAGCCGCTGTGGGATCCAGAATTAATTTTCTGGGAAACGAAAGTCCAAGTACGCAGATCGCCATGTGTTCCAGCTCTCACCGCCATAAGCCGCCATCCTGCCACCCATGCCTCATCTATTGTGCCAGTCCGGGGTCCTACCATCAGCCACTACTCTAGGTCGACGATTTCAGAAGTAAGGCGCAATATTTACAAGTGAGAACGAACTTTCATCAGGGAGGGGAGAGTAATTCGCCGCCAGCAATTTTTTAATTTCTCTCGCTATCTTGGAACCTGTGCCACCACCACAATCATCACCCAAGCCGACAGCATCAAATCTTGTGAGTGTTCAAGCTACTGCAATCGTTGCCAGTCATCGTCGCAAGTATTAACTTATCATCGTGTGTGTTGTACAGATATTTGAGAATATTTGGTGGACTGTAAACATCTGGCTAGTGTTGCCACCAGCTCACACACACCTCGCCACCTCTCATCATCGCCACAGCCCCCTGCTATATCACTCTGGTGTGAACTCCTGCCTAGCAAATCGTGTTTCCTCTACCGTCATCGACACAATATCGTCGTCTCAGCGTTTATCGTCGCGCTCCCAACATCAATTCCAGTGTGGGGTTGCACCAGAGCTTTGCGCACTACCACTTGGAGCGCTGCCTGCCGCCGCACCAATTGTAAACAAACCGTGCATGTGCCTCTTCACATGCCTTGTCGCCGTTTTTCGCGTTGGCCAGTGTTAGACTGCAAATCCTGCAGCAATGAGCTAAGTAATTAAGAGCTAAGACTTCGTGTGCTATGTTTTAAAGAGGTTTAACGTAAATATATCCACAATATCTTATGAATTAACCATTCAGTGACTTTTTAAATATTGGAGCTGGCTACATACTCCACTCCCACAGTTTCTCTGAGTCATTTTCAACATTACTGCTTCTCACAGTAATTTCATTGAGTATTAATTGTGCTACTAGAGTATTATTGGTAAATCCAAGTCCAGAGAAGTAAGAAATTATTGTTTTAGTAGCAGTTAAGGATTTGCACAATATAATTTTTATAATTTCCCCAGACCTAAAATTGAAATTTATTCCTTTAACATTTCACATTATAATCTTACCAAAGCACGTTATATACATTCCTGTGTCCAGTTTCTGTGCTACATCTATATTTCCTCTATTGCCACTTGTTGTGTTGTATTATTTTCATCAAAATTGCAATTACACTTCAAAGTTTTATAATTAAATTTGCAGTGCTTAGCCTGGTTTAATTAATTTACATAACTCTAATTCTAGCCACATTTTCATACAAGATTGCTAATTTAATTTACAATTTTGCTTGTTTTTCATTATTTTGTTGCCTAGCCCAATTTAATAACTTTATTTCTGCCATTTACTTACTTTAGCCAAGTTTGATATTAGCGACATCCTTAGTGATGAAACCAAATTTCAACGAGTCACGAGGAAACCTGAAGAAGACCTTAAACGCAAAGTAAACAAAACAATTACTACAATCAACACAAAGAAAGGTAGTGTGCATTTCACTAAACTCCAAAGCGACTATGGCTTAGGATATGCCTATGGCAATGTTAAGACACACAAACTCGAGGTAATGTGTGTCGAGGAAATAAAAGTATGTGTTCGTGGGAGAAAAGAATTGGCAAAATGATCAGGGAAAGAAAAGGGCCTCAAAATAATAATTCACTTAGGGTATATTACACTAACAGTAGAAGTCTAAGAAATAAAATTAACGAATTAAATGCTCTTGTCTGCACAGAAAAAATAGATATTATTGCACTTACCGAAACGTGGATGAATGTAGAAAATAGAGAACTATTAGCTGAATATCAAATAAATGGATTTAAACTATTTCACACAGATAGATATATTAGACGAGGAGGGGGAGTAGCCATATATGTTAGGGACAATTTGAAATGTAGTCTCAAAGAGGGAATCAAAACTGAGCCACACACAGAAACTATTTGGATAGAATTAAACGGAAAAGCAAATAATATTATAATAGGAGTTATATATAGGCCACCAAATTTAGACAGAATGGAAGCAAAGCATCTATGGGATGAAATATCTAGATCTAACAGTATTTATGTCATGGGTGACTTTAACTTTAGCGGAATAAACTGGTTGAACAAAACAGGGAATAGTGAAGCAGAAGATTTTCTAGAATTAATTGACGATTACTTTCTTACGCAACACATTAAGGAACCAACGCGGGAAAAAAATATTTTAGATTTAGTATTAACTAACAGGGAAACACAAATTAATGACATCGAAATAGGGAGTGAGCTAGGGAACAGTGATCACAAAGAAATCAGATTTAGCATAGAATGGAATAGACCAGTAGGACAAAATTCTGTTAAAGTGCCAGATTTTCGAAAAGCTGATTTTAATAGCCTAAGAAATTTTTGGGGTCAAATTGATTGGAAAGTCTTGGGTATGGGGTGTGGGCCGGTCTTGGAGCGAGACATGAACCCAGCGATAGGTGACTTAAATGGGGATTTCGATGTGGATTCAATATATAACTTATTTAAGAATATTCTAAACAAAGCACAGGAACGTAGTATACCATACAAATTGAATAGATCGAATACTAATGACCCAAAGTGGATAACAAAGAATTTGAAGAACCTTATAGGTAAAAAGAGAGCTTGGTACAAAAGGATTAAAAATGGGGAGGTCACTTTAGAACAGGAATTCGTACAACTGGTTAGAAATGTTAAAAAAGAGATAAGGAAAGCAAAAAGAAACTATGAAGTTCGCATAGCAGGGCAAGCAAAGACAAATCCTAAAGGGTTTTTTCAGTTATATCGTACTAAGACTAGGGAAAGGATAGGTCCATTAAAAACTGAGACAGGTCAAATAACAGATAGTGATGAAGAGATGAGTAGTATTTTTAATAAATATTTTGTATCTGTATTTACTAAAAAGGAACTTAACAATATGCCTTCAGCCGAACAAGTCTATATGGGTAGGGACGAGGACAGGTTGACGAGTTTAGCAGTTACCAGGGAGGATGTTCTTAAACAAATAGTAAAACTCAAACCAAACAAATCCCCAGGGCCGGATGAAGTGTTTACCAGGGTGCTTAAAGAATGCAAAGAGGAGCTTTGTGATCCACAGTCAACCATATTTAATAAATCAATAGAGTCAGGCAGAGTGCCAGAGTTTTGGAAAGTTGCTAATGTGATACCAGTTTTTAAGAAAGGAGATAGATCACTTGCGTCTAACTATCGACCAAGTAGCCTAACGTCTATTGTGGGAAAGTTACTCGAATCTATAATAGCAAATAAAATTCGTCTTCATCTTGAAAAACATAAATTATTAATTGAGTCGCAACATGGTTTTATAAATGGCCGTTCATGTTTAACAAATTTGTTATCTTTTTATTCTAGCATAGTTGAGGCAGTTGATAGTGGTAAGGATTGTGATGTTGTGTACCTTGACTTTAGCAAAGCTTTTGATACAGTGCCACATGAAAGACTGATTAAAAAGATAGTCTCATGGTATTGGGGGTGCTATATTAAGCTGGATTAGGGCATGGCTATACCAAAGGAAACAGAGAGTTAGTATAAATGGAATCAAGTCAGAGTGGGAAAATGTTGTAAGTGGAGTGCCTCAAGGCTCTGTCCTGGGACCTCTGTTGTTTATAATATATATAAATGATTTAGATTCAGGTTTGAGTAGCAACATTTGCAAATTTGCCGTTGATACGAAAATCGGTAGGGAAATTAATTCAGAGGAGGACTCACTATCACTTCAAGTTGATCTAGATAGGGTTTTGAAATGGATAGGGTTTTGAAATTCTCTTTTTTAACATTTCTAACCAGTTGTATGAATTCCTGTTCTTACCTGACTTCCCCATTCTTAATCCTTTTGTACCAAGCTCTCTTTTTACCTATAAGGTTCTTTAAATTATTTGTTATCCACTTTGGGTCATTAGTATTCGACCTATTCAATTTGTATGGTATACTACGTTCCTGTGTTTTGTTTAGAATATTCTTAAATAAGTTATATATTAAATCCACATCGAAATCCCCTTTTACGTCACCTATCGCTGGGTTCATGTCTCGCTCTAAGACCGGCCCACACCCCATACCCAAGAGTTTCCAATCCATTTGACCCAAAAAATTTCTTAGGCTATTAAAATCAGCTTTTCGAAAATCTGGCACTTTAACAGAATTTTCTCCTACAGGTCTATTCCATTCTATGCTAAATCTGATTACTTTGTGATCACTGTTCCCTAGCTCACTCCCTATTTCGATGTCATTAATTTGTGTTTCCCTGTTAGTTAACACTAAATCTAAAATATTATTTTCCCGCGTTGGTTCCTTAATGTGTTGCGTAAGAAAGCAATCGTCAATTAATTCTAGAAAATCTTCTGCTTCACTATTCCCTGTTTTGTTCACCCAGTTTATTCCACTAAAATTAAAGTCACCCATGACATAAATACTGTTAGATCTAGATGCTCTAGATATTTCATTCCATAGAGGCTTTGCTTCCATTCTGTCTAAATTTGGTGGCCTATATATAACTCCTATAATAATATTATTTGCTTTTTCGTTTAATTCTATCCAAATAGTTTCTGTGTGTGGCTCAGTTTTGATTCCCTCTTTGAGACTACATTTCAAATTGTCCCTAACATATATGGCTACTCCCCCTCCTCGTCTAATATATCTATCTGTGTGAAATAGTTTAAATCCATTTATCTGATATTCAGCTAATAGTTCTCTATTTTCTACGTTCATCCACGTTTCGGTAAGTGCAATAATATCTATTTTTTCTGTGCAGACAAGAGCATTTAATTCATTAATTTTATTTCTTAGACTTCTACTGTTAGTGTAATATATCCTAAGTGAATTGTTATTTTGAGGCCCTTTTCTTTCCCTGATCATTTTGCCAATTCTTTTCTCCCACGAACACATACTTTTATTACCTCCTTCCTCCAAATCAATTCCCATACCACTATCTACTAACAGATTAAACCCAAA